GCCCTCTACACATGGTGGTCCGTGGCTTCACACTGTCCTCGGGCTCGCCAAGATTTACAACTCTCTGAAGTTGGAAAACTGCTGATACTTGCTAGGAGAACTAAGGTACAACTTGATTCATCATCCTAATTGAAGTGAAGTAATTGTAAATCGAGATATACACTCAGTCAAATAGACGACTTCTCGACCTTGTTAGATCTATAAAGCCATCTGTCAGGCTTTGATTAACGCAAAAAACTTCATTTTTTTAATTGGGGGCGTGGCGTGCTATTTGAGATGCCTTGTATCACACACATACTCTATTCGATCATTAGCCCTAGACTCACTAAGCCTTATACTCCTCCAAGGTGAGCGAATCGGCATCACTTGCCTAGGAGGGTTGTAGCACAACTTCAATCATCAGTTGGCTCATGTGAAGTCATTGTAAAGGTTAGATATGCATTTATTCACCTCTACGATGCTTGATCTTGTCAAAAGCAATGCTCACACCCGAGGAGTTCGTCAAAACCACAAGCATTATCTTCTACACCTGATTACTAAGAGCCTTGTAGACTCAGGCCATGTTCTACTTACTATGCATGAATGATCATCCTTTATGTTTTGATTAGTTAGACGAAAAAGCAATTTTGCCTTAAGAGTTGTTATATCCATTGGAAGCTAAACGGCAATTTCACAAGCGGCGCTAGACGTCGTCACTGCTCTTTCACTAAGAATTCAAACGACCAAAGGCCATACCTCTTGTGCATTTCTCCAGAATGGTTGTTTCAGATTTTCCAGATATTCCAAATTCTCCAGGAAGAGAAGGTTGTTTAATTAGATGAAACAAGTGGTTACAAGCGGGATATTTCTTTTGTATTGTCTCTTTATTTAAGAATATCTCTATGAAAATTATGACAATCAATTGTGCTGAACTTCAATTTCGATATGGTGCTTTTTCCACACACATTAACAGTTATTGGGCATACTTGCCTTGAGAACATATCTTGAATTGCTCGATATCATGCTTACACCTCTCATGTGTCGGACACTGCCAGAAGATGACTCCTTCTTTAATGAGGCTACTGTTTAGGTACTACACAAGGGTTTGCCAGGCCTGCTTACAGTGCGGGAGTTTCCATTGGCAAGGCTGACAAGAGGCTTATTTCCTCACAATCCCTGTCGTCCATCTGCACTTGAATTGTCTTAAGCAGCCTTACGAATCATTCTGTTTTCTTTATATTTAACCGAGAGGAGTGATGAGGAGACAATCGGAACTCTGGAACCCCCCCCCCCCCAATTGGAGCCTGATTGTAGCTATTTGAAGATACAATCCTTTGAATTTTTCACCTCTTCAACACTTAAAACTGAAGCGCTGAGAATTAAATGGACTCACGAAGTTTCCAGTTCGTCAGGCCTTCTAGTTATTGAAATGTCCTAAAAATCACCACGATGACAAGTACTGAGTTTTCGAATCACGGATATGGATAACCTTTTGGGAAGCCATATCAAAACTGTTTTGAGTCCGAGGAAAGAGACTCGCTGAACTTTCAGTTTATTACTTAATTAATAAATTAGAAGAACCTTACCTAACACTGACGACAGAGAGAAATCTATTCTGCAAATGTGTAAATTTTTTTCTATTGCTGAGGTGTTTTCAGTGCGCAGAAAATGGTCAGCAGTTGTTGAAAAACTATCACAATCGCGAATGTATTTGAAGCAAAACGCAGGAGGGATATCAAACGTGTGTATTTATTAAAGGCATTCGAGATTTCAATGCATTGTGTTTATAAACTTATTTTGAGTACTTTATTCCGTATAATTCAATGTTAATTGCTCTGGTACTGTAGTGCCTTATAGAGTTAATAATATGATGTGTAACTAATATTTTGTACGCCCAAAGGTAACGAAAATTTAATTCATGAACAACAAAAGTAAGGCGCGGATGTCCTCATATTCTCCGTTATGTGGTTGAAATGCCCTAAGTATCTCGTAGATAACGGTCGAAACACTCGGTCGACTGACGCAGTATGAGTACGAATTCCGAAGATGTTCCAAATCCCAGGCAAAGAGTAATTTAAGAAGCAAGTAAAATTTCTGGTATTTACAGGATTTTTGAAGTGTCATTATGTTCCATATATACCTAAGAGAATCGAATGGTGAGCAGCACGGTCTCAACCGGGAACCGAACCCGTGTTTCATCCTATCCGGGAGGCGTGCTCTACCACTGCACCACCGAGGTACATTTGCGCCACCACTCATTCTTCAACATCTGTGTGTTAGCTCTCAGCCACGAACATTTAACAGGTTTGTTCGAGTATACGATTTTTCTTGATAAACCAAATTGAGCTGACGGACGTGGCACAAACTAATACTCGAAACTTCTAGTATTTACTGCATTTTTCGCAGAGTTACTATGTTTCATATATAGTTAAGGTTATAATCAACTTGGTCTACAAAGCCAAATCGCATACCTGAGCAAGCCTGTTGATAGTTGGTGGCTGATAGCTAACATAGAGATGTTGAGAAAAGAGTGGTGGCGCAAATGCGCATTGTGGCGTAGTTGTACAGCACGCGTCCTCGGATAGGATGAAACGCGGGTTCGATTCCAGATTAAGGCTATACTTTTGCTCACCACTCAATTCTTTTAGGCCTATGTAAAAAATACAGATATGAGCACTAGGCAATAGCAGCTATTCTGGAATAATGCACAAGAGGTATGGCCTTCGGTCGTTCAAATCCTTGGTGAAAGTGTTCTAGCGCCACTTGTAAAATTGCCGTTTAGTATCCAATGAATATAACAACTCTTAAGCCAAAAATTGCTTTTACCGTCTAACTAATCAGAACATAAAGGCTGATCATTCATGCATAGCAAGTAGAACATGTCCTGAGTGTACAAGGCTCTTGAGCATCAGGTGTAGAAGGGCA